TTGCAGGTGAGGAGCAGAAGGGCTAGGGAGTGCTGCCCTCCATCCCAACAGCATCCCTGCCCACCGCCCCAAGCCCCCTTCCCCTGTGTGACTAGGGTGGGGGGGGCAGCACGCGGCCAGGGGAGAGAGGGAACCTTGCCCGCTGGTAGAGCCGGGAGCCAGTGGGGACGACTGCATAACGCAGCCAGGCACGGGACATTTGGCATGTGCCGCTCTGTAAGCTCTTCCAATGGCTCCACTCATTGCTGGAGCCCAGTACTGCAGGGGCACATGGAGATGGGCCCGTCGAGAGGGTCCCTGCAGCTCCAGCATCTCGGTCTGCACCTCTAGCATCTCAGTTTCTGTGTCTTCTACAGCTCTGGCATCTCAGTCTCTGCATCTGCTGCAGCTCCAGCATCAAGGTCAGCATCTCTGCATGCTGCTGTACCCTGCAGGTCTTGGGCCGGGGCTGCCTGGGAGTGGGGGTCCTGAAGCGCCTGGGAGTTATTGGTCTGCCCAGGGAAGCCGGTGGTGGGCACAGGGGAGCCTCTCCCTATGGCGGCTCCCCAGGGGGTCTGCCCGCCCGAGGGCGGAAAGCTGTTGGGACACCCCAGACATAAGGAGCTGTTTCCAGTCCATGTCATGGATCAAAACACAGAGGATGTGCTGAGCAGGAGTGGGCTGGCAGGCAGCCTCGCTCGTCCCAGCTTCCTAATTTTACATTGCAAAGAGCATTTCTTCTGCTTTTAGCATAATACTGTAAACGAAAAAGCTTGCATTCTATGATTCTAGCATAAACCTGCTCTAAAACAAACAAAAAACCCACTCTCTGCAAGTTGTGAAACTCCTGCGGGGCTGGCTGATTTGTGAGAGGTCGGGTCATCGAGGCAGGAATCACTGCACTGGCTGGGAAGGTGCCTCACCACGGCCAGGTCACCCCCTGGTCAGGGCTGAGTGTGGGCACCGCTGGCAGGGACAGCCCCATCCCAATGCGGCTGTGGCGGGCGGCTTGGGTGATGGGTACAGCCAAGGTGCAGCATTACCTGTGGCTGCACCTGGCATGCCCATCCCCGCTGCGGGCAGGGTGCCACCACCTTGGGTCAGCTGCTGAAAGTGAACATTCTCGGTATTTTGTTGCCTCCAGGCAGAGCCCGGTTTTTCCCAGGAAATAGCTTTGCCCTGAGCTGCTCCGTGTGTCCCCAAGGTGCTGGGCGAGGAGCGGCCGCACGCCTTTGCAGAGCATTGCAGTGGCAGGAGGAGCTACGTGGCTTCAACCCAGAGAGCAGTGACCCCGCCCGACGACAGCCCGGGCCGCCGGCAGCGGGTCCTGCCAGAGCCTGCCTGCGCTCCCCGCTGCCTGCCCCCCGGCCTCATCCTGCACCGGGCTCCGGGAGGAGGGTTTCGCCTGCCTGGAGGTCGCTGTCATTGAGCCAGTGCCCGCAGGGGACGTGGCAGTGGGGTGCCCCAGCGAGGGATGCCCACGGGGAGGCTGGGCTCTCCCTGCCAGCACCTTCTCCTCCCGGGCCGGGCAGGGCACACCTTACTGTAGGGCTGGGCTTCTGAAAGCTGGGGATCCCAAATTGCCCAGCTCCCTTGGGTCTGCACCAGGGTGGATGACTCTTTAATCCACCAAGCTTTAATATCTTTATTTATTGTGTTTATGCAGCTGCTGAGCAGGTTAAATGCTCATTACAGCAAGGATGGGCTGTGCAAGGGGAGAGTAAACCAGTGTAGGGCATGCTAGAGCACAGTAAATACTGCCCTTCTGTGCTCTCCTCCCTCTCCTTTTATTATCTCCTTTTAATGTGCTCATGGTTTTTATTTCAGTGGATCAGCTATCTTTTAATGGCTGTTGTTCTTTTCTGTACTTGGACATGAGAAGAGCTGTTTTATTTTTAGTTACTCATGCTTGGTAAAAACTTTAGTGGTTAAATTGTCAGGAAAATCATAACACTAAAATAAATGTCCTGACAGTGCCAGGGGAGGCTGGAGAGCTGCGGAGGCTCCACCGGTGCCAGGACGCTCCAGATAAGGATGGAGCATGGAGGAAGGAAAGCAAACACAGTGATAAGGGAATCAGGCATAAAATGCTGGTATCAGGCACTGCAGCATTTGAAGTACAGGAGGAAGAAACCCAGACGTTTTCCAGCTCCACTTTGCAACAATGTGTTTATTGGGTATGCTTAAAAAACCACAAAAATAAAAAACAGAAAACGAAGAGATGCACAGACTGCCCTACCACATGCTCTACGCCAAGGTACAAAATGAAAACTACTTGGACACTGGATCTGTTGTTGTAACCACAGCCACACCAGGAGGTTGTACGTGCAAGTGCTTGGGGCGAGGTGGACACAGGACCCGAACGAGACCCGGGAGAGTGGCACTGGCGGGTGTGATGCAGCTGCACAGATGCCCACATCTGCCTTCCGATGCACGCAGCCAAAGACCCGGTGTTTGTCCCCCTTTCCTAGCACGCGAGGAGCTGCCTGCCTGCCTGCCTGCAAGCTCGCCATGGCACAGATGCAACATTCTGGCTGACCGACAGAGGTTTCCCAGGTACGCATCCTGCTTTTTGGGAACTCGCCCTCTCCCCCCGCCCTCCCAGCAGCCAGCATCCCTTCCAAGTCCCTCCTCCTTGTCATCTCCAACTCTCACCGGTCCCGGTGAGCTGGGTGGGGAAGAGGAGGGAAGGGGTGGGAGGCAGCAGGTTTGGTTTTGGCTGAGGCAGCGCCTCTCCCCACCCAGCCCACCTGAGTTTCCATCCGGTGCCGCTGCTGCCAGCGCCTTCCTCCCGGCCTGGGCGGCTGGCTCAGCACACTGAGCAGCTGTTGGTCTTGTTCATGGGAGGCCTCAGCGCCTGCTCCTTGGGCAACGTCTCCCTCCTCTTGCAGAGCGCCGGGCTGAGCCGGCTGGGCAGGTTGGCTTGCTGCAGCAGCTCTCTGAAGACCTCCAGGACGTTCTCGTTGTCCTTGGCCGACGTCTCCACGAAGCGGCTGTTCCAGTCCAGCTCCACCAGCGATAGGGCGTCCTCCGCCAGCACCTGCCGCTCGCCGCCACTCTCCGCCTTGTTGCCGACCACCACGATGGGAGGAAACTTGTCTTCCTTCACCTCCAGGATCTCCTCCCGCAGGCTCTTGACACTCTCGAAGGACTCAGCGTCATCTACAGCGTAGACCAGGGCGAAGGCATCACTGTTCTGGATCGAGAGCTTCCTCATGGCTGGGAAGGAGTAGCTGCCGCTGGTGTCCAGGATTTCCACCTTGACTGTGGCCCCGCTCACCTCATACTCCTTGCTGTGCAGCTCCTCCACCGTGCGCCGGTGCTTGGGCTCGAAGGTGTCCATCAGGAAGCGGCGGATGAGGGCTGTCTTGCCCACGCCGGCAGCGCCCAAGAAGACCAACCGCACGTGGTTCTTCTCCTTCACCACCAGAGACATGGCTGGGCGCAGAGGGGATGGGATGCTCCACAGCTGGCACTCACCCCACGGGTGTCCCTGGGTGGCCGCAGCCCCGGCGTCCGTCCGTCCTCCCCTGCACCAGCTCAGTGCAGCCAGCAAAGTTTGGTGCCACTTCCCTGCAAACTTCTCCTGGCTGTTCTGCTGCGGACGCTACAGTCCCCAAGTCCAGCTCATCTTTTATCCTGGTTCCTCTCTGCCATGTGGCACCAGGCTGTCCAATCTCTGTGGGTTGAGGGTGCTGAAGGAGGGAGGGCAGGGAGGGAGGAGAGCGGGGTGCTCCGGGCCAATCCGCGGAGCTCAGTCCTGGAAAGCCACTCCAGCCCTGGAGAGCACCGCGCTACATTGCACATTGCACTTGCATCGCCCGCTGCTGCCGGTAGCGCCGGGGAGCCAGCAGCATCGCAGCCGTCATGCTGCGTGAGCCGTCCTGCCCTTTCGTCCTCCCTGGAGATTAATGTGTGTTTCTTGGCATGGGCTTGCTGGCAGCAGGGCAGCTTGGTGGGGGTCCCCACACCCATTGGGTGGCTCATGGCCAGACATGGCAGGAGCTGGCCAGTCACCCACAGCATTTCTTGTGCTTACCTGGGGCTGGGGGCTTGTTTGCAGATGGGGTTGCTGCAAATGTGCCCAACTCTTCCCTGAGCCTATGAAATACTTGACCTGAGGGGAAAAACAAGATCTTCCTGAAACCCATGTGTCATAACCTCCATCTTCAGCTGTCAGTTATTCTTTGATTTTATAAAATATTTAACCTGAGGGGAAAATAAAATCTCCCTGAAAATTATGCATCGCGATCTCCAAGAACAGATACCGAGCAGTCATGGGTAGGAACACTGTCCATGACCTGGCTTCAGCAAAACTGTGGCCCAGGACGGTTGGTTGATTTACCGGGCGGAGAGGCAGGATGCGTGTCAGTCCCCATCTCCACGTGGATGGGCATCACCTCTGGAAGTGGGTTTGCTCATAGAGGTGCAGGTTGCCCTGTCTGGGTGTGTTTCCTCAGTAGTGACCTTCGCTATTCCATGCTAGAGTTGTTTCAGAAGCTGATTTATGCAAGTGCAGATACAAAGGGAACTTGCTGAAAAGTTAAAATAAGTCTTTATCCTAAATTTGTGCATGTGGGGGGTTTTTCCTAGCTTTGGACTAGTTTTTGTAGTTTTAATGCAGTTGGTTTTCTTTCCATAGCAAAGTACCAGCTTCAGCATTTAGTTCTGGCTGAACTTACCTTGTTGATTTCTAAAGCCCTTTTCACAAGAGTTATTCCTGCCTCTTAGTTCCCCATGTATTGTTACATCTTAGCCATGTTAAGAGCTTCCCCTACCTGATCTTATTATCAGGAGAGCCAAGACGTTGCTTTGGGGTGAGCAGCCGCCCTGTCCTTGGCTCAGCCTCCTTGGGAGAAGGGGAAGGTTGGGTCCCTAACAGGACTGGCAATGGGACTGGTATCCAAAAATACCCAGTACCCCGTGGCACCCTGTGGGGTTTTGCACCATCTGGTGATGCACCTTCATTTACCAACATGAAGCTTTTTCTGGAGAGACTTACGGTGCCATGAGAAGAGCCCAAAGGCAATGCCAAGGACTGAGCCACAGGAGTCAGAAGGGGCTGAGGACGCAGATGTGATGGCATGGACATAGGACCTTGGCAGACCAAAAACCAAAAACTGTGGATGAGCAGAGCATGCCTGGTTTAGGCACATGAATGAAGCAGCGCGTTTTGGTGCCTGGCAAGCCATTGACATCAGTGGAAGTGAAGAACTGAAGACAAGGAAGCAGGGCATGACAAGTAATCTCACCCCAGTTTTGGAAGCTGTTTAAAGCCAAACCCCATTTTTTTTAATTAGAAAAGAATTTGGTTAGTGCTTCTTTGTGCTTAGATAGACATAGTGACAGGGGTTTTTAAGAGAGGAGATGAAAGGGATTTCCTGTGGTTCCTCCCAGCCGGCTATGGTGAAGCTCCGTGGGGCTCAGCCAGCTCTCAGGAGGTGCCCCTGTCCTGCCTCTAAACCATCCCAGTTATTGCCACCACCCTGCAGGGAAGGAGCCACGAGCTGATGGATGTGCTGGGAACCACCGAGCGGCAGCCGCCAGCCATGGGGGGTTTCCCAAATTGTGGCCGGGAAGGTGCTCCTGGTGCCGTGGGAGCCAGCACCAGGTCACATCACTACCGCTGCCTGCAGTTTGAGTCATTTCTGCAAAGAGTAGATGTGTCCTGCGTGGTCCAGCCAGGGTGAAGAGACAGCCCTGGCTGTGTTAGACAAAGAAAGGTATTGCAGTAAGAAGCTCCCCTGCCTTGGCGCTGCAGTCGCACACAGCCTGTCTGTACATCCCCAATGATTTTTCACATCAGTTGTCTCCCTTTAGTTTTCACATCTGTGCTGCTATGGTTACCGAGAGCCTGAAAGGTTTTAAATCTCCCTCAGAGCAATGGAGGATTTCAGGGGTAATCTTGTTAAGAGATGAGCAATGAATATTTCCAAAGGCCTTTTGCATGAATATCTCGTTCCGTATTAACTTATGTCCACTGACAGTAAGGAAAGCAAAGTGGGGGGGGACTGTGTGCGAGGAAGGGAAGAAACCAGAGAAGGATGAATGCAGCAACTTGTTTTCCACTGCAGTCTTTTGTGCCCAGAATGATGTGCCTAAATACTGTATTTTTCAAGGAGGGCTTGGCCAGCCAGCTTGGGCCAGGTATTATAAAAAAAATAATTATTTCAGCCTGTGTTTCGCCCAGGGAAAGACTCACAGGACCTTTATGGGCACTTGGAGATGAGGACACATCATGGCTGAGTCCTACAGAAAAGCCCCTCTTCACGCGAGCCGTGCATCGATTCACAGGGACCCACCAAGATGGCGAGCGGAGCCGAGATGGCTCTTGGCTTCAGTAGGGCTGCAGGAGCAGCCAGGATCCAGCCCCTGTGGATTTAGGAACTCGGGTGGAGTGTTGGATCCTGCACCAAGGACACATGCCGCACCCGTGGGGACTGGAGCGCAGCAGGGGCGAAGCCTCTGCCAGTGCTGAGCGGGAGCGTGTGCCCGCGGGAGAGGGGACCGTGACGCCCCAAGGGGGGCGGGAGGGAGGACAGAGGCAGGGACCTGCCTGCGAGGGAGCAGGGAGGGAAAAGAGCCCTGAGCTGCTGGCAGGGAGGCGTGCAGGCAGCAGGAGGAAGGACAAAGGGACAGCAGCAGTGATGGGCAGGGATGGGGCACGAAAGAGCTGGGGCTGGGTTTGGGGCAGGTGGAGCCCCACGTCAGGCGTTCACAGGCAGGTCTGGAGCAAGGGGTGCTTGGAGATGTGCGACAAGAGGGTTCTTGGATACCCTTACCCCAACGCCGACCCTCTGCGGGGCCAACAGCCACGGAGCGGTGGGATACCCCGGGGAGAGGTGAGGGACGGTCCCCAAGGTGCCAGCCGGTGCCAGGGCACAGGCAGAGCAGCAAGCTGAGCTCGAAACACCCGCCAGCCCCTGCATGAGCGCAGTCCCTGTAGGCTGGGCAGCCTTCAGCAGTCAGGAGAGGGCAGTTTGGGACAGAACGCTGGAAAATGGCACGTACGCTGCTGCTTCCCAGCGTGTGCTGGCGGGGGAGCAGCAGCAGACGCAAGGCCTAAGGGAGGCGCAGGGAGGAGGGCAGAGGAGGGAGCTGGACCCCCACCCCTGAAAAAAGCCAACAGCACTTCGTACGGTAGGGTAGAAACTCTGGGCTCTGCACAAGTAACACACTCCCCTCCCGTTGCTGTTCGCAGTCCAGGACGTGGGACACTGTGGTGCATCCTCTGTTCCTGAACCGGCCCATGCACAGGAGGGACGGAGCTCCTCAGCTGGAGGGGTTTGAGTTGAGCTCTCCCAAAAAAAGGTCCTAATGTTCTGCCAAGTTTTGCAGCATCTTTTACAAACATTCATTTTTATTTCACTAGCAAGCCTTATGTTTGGTGCCTTGAAGTGATAGTGCGAGGGGGAACCCAAAAGAGCACACGAACCTTCCCCACGGCTCCGCTGCAGCGCTGAGATGCTCTTCAGTAAGACGATTTGCAAACTTCAGGAACAGCCCATGCTGCATCTGGATGTGTTTTCAGAGAGCTCATACCTCAATGCTCAGCTGTCAGGGTTCAGAGGGAACGGTGGACGCCGAGGAAGCAGAGAGCAATGTTCCCCAGCACCATGCGGGAACAGCCAGTGCTGGGCATTGCTCCAGTCCCGGGCACAGCGCCCCAGTAACCCGCACTGCCCAGCGAGCAGGTCAGCACCACGCGGTCACACATGGGGTGAATGCTTTCTTAGCTGATGGGAGCGGTGTGCCTTGCCCATTGCTTGCAGGCAGTGAAGCATCGTTACAGCTGCGGGGGGCAAATAGTTTGCAGCACCATGATGCATTTCCATGAGTCTGGGCCAGCTGCTGGAAGCTGATACATCACTGACTCCTGCGATGGGGTGCCTGGTGCCCCAGCACCCCATGGCTTCGCACCCCGCCACGGGACACAGAGGCAGCAAAGGCAGCCTGTGTCTGCAGAATGCTTCCACCCTCTGCAACCTGCTTGTGCCTCTGCCCCCTGTTTCTGCCCTTCGTTAAATTCATGGTGTACATGAGAGCAGCTGTGTTTTCAGCAGGGCTTTCTGGCATTTCAGCTGAGAAGGTGAGAAGGAAGCAGTCAGTAATGAGAAATGCCAGCGAGAGCATCCCCGCTGAGCAACATGTCCCCATCACTGCAGGCAGCGGCCAGGCAACAGCCTTGTGGGGTGAAGCATCGTTTCTCCCACCCAGAATGAGCCCTGGACAGGAGACCAGGCAAAAACAGGAGAGGGGAGGAGAGGGCTGGAGGGGGGCTGCCTGTCTGCCCCCGCTGCCTGTATCAGAGGTTGGTGAAGCAGGTCCTTGCCCCGGTGTGGGGACACCCAGCTGCACAGGAGAGGGTTAAACCTGCCTCTCCTGGAGATTAAATCCAAATGGCCTTTGATTTAGTGACAGGTGAGAGGAGAAATCTGAACCGCTATAGCTTCCGCCCCCACTTTAAAGGGGAGCCGCAGCCCTCCCTGATGCATACATGGATCAGCCATACGTGGTGCTCCGTGCCGCCTCTGTCTGGAACAGCATGTCGCCAGA